GCTGTCATAGGAATTGTATCATCCATATCTCGATAACAACTTGTACAAATATCCGGTTTAATTAAATCATATTCTTCCATGGGTATATCATTATTTAATTGTTCATCTTCAAGTATTGTTTTCGTTTGTTTATGATTTTTATCTAATAAATGTAAATGACGAATTTGTTTATTGATAAATTCACTTTCACTTAATTCATTATCTTCTTCATTTTGTATAAGTTTTCTTCGATTTAATTCTGAATCAATTGGTTTAAATGTATCAAATGGTAAAGTTGTAATGAATTCAATTGTTTTATCAATTAAATCATTTATTTTATATATAGATTCTGTTGATTCATATAAACTTTCAATTTCGATCGTATCCGAATATAAATCCATATTAAGACCAACTTGTACTCTATAGAAACTCTCATTTGTAGATATATCATCATTTAATAGAAGGATAAGATATGAATTAAGTGTTGAATAAGTTGGAAAAAGATCGAATTGATTTGACCATTTATTTGATTTTAAACGATCTGTTAAACATAATAAATATTTTGTTGGATAACATTGAGCATGAATAAAACTTTTTCCATATGTTTTTGATAGATATTCAATTGATAAATCATTTTTATTTAATAGTATTGAACGAAATGTTAATGACATTAAATGATTATGAGATTTTTCATTAGATTGATGTTTTTTACCAGTACTTTTTTGCTAAATAAAGAAAACAAAAAGCTTAAATACAGTTTAAAATAATTAGTAAAACATACTCTTTGAAGATAGATAGCTTTATCACGATTATAGAGTTTTTCTTCGCGACTAATTTGTCGGCGAAATTTATGTGATGGATCAATATCATCGATATAAAAACGTGATGCTTTCGGATCAAATTTATCGATTGTTACTAGATTTTCGCTTATTATTGTTGTTGGAACATTATCATCATTTGATATAGGTGGAATAAAATCATTTAAATGTAAATGACCGGGTTTTTGTGAAGCATCATTCTATTATAAAAAATTATTAATAGGAAATTAATGTACGAATATATATGCTTACAGGTGTTGTTGGTTCATCACCATCATCGGTCGATGTTTGTTCTTCATCTCCTGCGAAGTCATCCCCAACATCCATACTTTCTTTCATTTGAGTAAATTTCGAACGTTGAACACCTAATGTAACTTTTTTCGCTACGTTAAAAAATAATCATATTAGAATCTATCGATGAAATTCTTATATAAGAATACCTTTATGACTATGTTGTTTTCGAATATTAGCAAATTGTTTTTCTTTTGGTGGTGGTACAACAGCATAATAAGTTACATCAGCAGCAGCAGTTGTTCTTCGTTCATTATTATCCTCAGTAATATTAGTATGAAGTGAGTCACCAATTTTTCCTCTTATTGACCTTAGTGGTCCTTGCATATAAGTATTTTTTGGCACTTGAGTACGTTGTTGACCTGTATTACTTGTAATACTAACACAACTAGCTTGTTGATCAGTATTATGAAATTCATATAAACGATATTTTGTCTCACGATTATCTATTGCTCGTCGTGAATTTTTTTTCTTTGTTTTTAAACGATTTTTCTGTTGTTGTTGTTGTTCTGAATCAGATTGTACATCAAGTTCATCGTCAGATGATGAATCGGATTGATTATTAGTTAAATGTCGACGAAAATCATTTAAAATATTCCATCGTTGTTGTTTATTTAATGAATATTCAACATGAGGTTGTTCAATACCAAATGGATCTGGTTTATCTGTGAGATTTTCATTAGTTTTCTCATTTGTATTATTCCATGCTGCCTGTATATATGATTTATTTGATGGATGATTTGGATTATGATGTAAAAATATACTTTTACCACCAGCAGCTATACGTTTTGTTGGTCGTAAATTAGGTTTTTCATCATTATTTTCATTCGAAGCCATGTTAAAGAAAAACAAACTAATTCTATCTGCGCACAATTTAAATGTCACGAGTAAAGCAACTAACTGACAGCGATATAATCATTTACGACACGATCACATTGTATATGCGTCATATTGTTGTGTTATTGCGAAACTTTTTTGTCTTTTCTACACCTTAGATTATGTTACAAATAGTGTGCATAGGTTTGTGTCAATGCAAAGGTGAAGGAATATTTTTCTTTAACGATCTATTATTGACTTGTTGATAAGAAAATGACTCAGATGATAACAAAAAATATAATAAATATATAAATAGTTCTTCTCTTTCTCTTACTTGTCGAGTACAGTTATAGAAGAAATAAATTATATCAAATATAATTCGTCATCTGACGCCCTCTGCTTAAGAAAAGCATTAATGGTTTAGAAGTATAGAGTGACAGTAGTGGAATATATGTATGTGTTGCTGTGTTCTCACTCACTACCTGCATACGAACGTTATAATAGAGTCTAAATAACAAATTTTAACTGGTTGCACTTTGCGCTTACTATATTATTTTTCTTTATATTCAGTTCAGTTATTCATTGTCCCAATAGAGATTATACATTGGGGGGATTAAGTTCGTTTTTATAAATATATTGAAATTCGATTATTTATTTTTAATTAAGATTATTTGTAAAAAATGCAACCTTCATCATCATCATCGTCATGGATGCCATCGAATAATTCAAAGTACAAAAATTTCGTATTATTCTATAATTTATACATTAAATTTTTGTAAATAATAATAGTACGACTACAAGCAATTCCAATTTCTGGTCAAATGGTGGATTTCGAAAACGTAAAGCAGCTGCTAGCGACTTAGATGAAAAGTAAAGTTCGAAAATTGTTTTAAAAGTTTATTCTTTATTTTAAAAATTAGAACTAATCAAAAAATGTTTGTAACAGAAGAAAAAATGCTTAAAGAAATGCAAACACTTTCATTGGATTTAGCAAGTCTTAATAATAACAATAATAATATACCAAATACAACTCCTCAAATCATTCCGTAAATCTTATTTATATTTATTATGATTTTTAGCAATTCATTTTTCTATTATAATTCTAGAGAACCTATTGATGCAGAAATAAAATCAAATGATGAAGATAGTAGTGATGAAGAAAAAGAAAAAAATACTCAAGAAACACGTGTTGAATTACATAAATTATTAAAAGATAGTTTAAAAAATGATGATTTACAAGATAGTTTAATCAGCAAACTTTGTGAGATTGAACGGTAGATTTTATTCAAATCTCTATTAAATTAATTGAATATATATTTAGGCGAAAATTTACTATGCAACTTGTACCTTATATGCCAATTCATCCAGCTCAATTAAGTAATGATACTGCAACGAAACAAGATGAAGATGAAGAAGAAGAAGAGGAGAGAATAATTGAAAATCCATCTCCTGTTATATTTGAAGAATTGAAAAATGAAGATGGTGATCATCTTTTTAAAATGCCATCACTACCAACATTATATACAGTTGAAGAACCATCTGATAATATAACAAAACGAGCTTGTGCTATGAAACGGTAGAAATTACAGGCTGAATATCAATCGGAAATATATCTCATTTATTTTATTTACATAGAAGTTATTCTCAATCAAATCAGTGCAATGGTAGTTTATCAGTAACGGAATTAAAACATAATACAAATGATCAATCATCGATTCATCCTTCACAATCAGGTTATTTTGTGGTTGAACCAACAGCAACTCCGTAAGGAAAATAAAAATAGTCCTTTCATTTTCTTTGAATTATGTTTTGTAGTTTAAATCAAACATTATCGAATACTTCCAGTTCATCTCTATCATCTAGCGGACCCTCGATTCGAATTACAGAATTTCTTGATAATCCATCAACAAATAATGAATTTACGAATACATTGGATGATGATGATATTGATATGCAATCAGTTGCTTCATC